TCAAATATGACAACAGTGTTCAATGCATGTATAAATAAGAGATTTGAAGAGGTAGAAAATGTAATCAGGATAAGATAATGGCGAGCACGATAAAGGGAAGCAACCTTTTCAGAATTTAAATTTGCAATCAAATGATTTCCAAAAGAGGTCAGTAGAAAACAATGAGAAGATGTAAAGAAGAGGACTTAGTGAGATAGTTGCGATTAATTATTATGGAAATATTGACTGTATTACGATTGTTTTTCCCGAGTAAATAACTGGGTTTTGTTGAAGTTACTTAATTTAAACAGGAATATTAAGTTGAGTTGTTAGTAGCAAGATCCACTCTACACGTAAGGTTGTCAGGAAGATCATTAATATTAATATGAAACAAGACAGGACCAAGGGTAGAACCTTAAAGTGTCCCAGAAGTTACTGGAAATAAAAGTGTTGGCCTTTAAGGATCACTCTAATAAAGCGGTTAGAAAGAAATGATTTGATAATCTCAAAAGCTTTCCCAAATACACCATATGAAGTAAGCTTATGAAGAAGTTTTATCGAAAGCTTTATGTCAAGAGCAAAAGCCTTTGCCTCGCCACCTCCATCTAATACACGATAAAATCTTTCAGTCACAGACAATCAATACGGTTTTCAGATTGAAAACCGTATTATTGTCAAACGGTAATTTGACAGATTTTGTATGACATTTGTTTTTTACAGAAAAAAGAAATTTTGACAACTGAATTTTAAACATATAGTTTATGTTAATAAAATTTTTTGAAAATGATAAACACAGCTTTTTTAAGATGGGCTTAAATCTCAAAACTTAAGATTTAAATTTGCAAAACTTACAGTTTAAGGAAAATATAATTCTATACTAAATTGAATATAAAAAAAAAAAGCATTTAAAAAATGTTTAAAAGGAATTAAGTTAAGGCAATATTTAAAAAAAAATAAAAATCTTTATTTTTTTATGAACCAAAGTATATAACAACAACAATTTTACACAAGCTACACACAAAAAAAATTATTACTTTAAATAATTTAATAAAAATTAGTAAGCAAGTATAATAAAAGGTTGCAAAAAATTTCATTAAAAAACAATTACAAAAAGCTTTTGATCTATGTTTTTTTAGAACGTATATCAAAAGCTTTTAATTCTTTTTGTCAGTTAGGATTTGTTTAAAAAGTTCAAAAGATGCACGAATGAACATTCGCTTCGGCAATGATTTTGTTAATAACTTAAAACTGTTTTTAATATAATCTAATACTGTATTTAAAGCATTATCTTATTCGGTTCTCTGAACTTTCCCAAAACCGATCATTGTAGCGGTCGTGGCGCTACCGATCATTGTAGCGGTCGTGGTCGTGGTGGTTAGAGCTCTTGCTTTAGAAGCAAGATATCTAGAGTTCGAACTAAGCTCTGTGCAGTTAAATGCTCTTCGTCAGTGCTCTGTGACAAGAAAAAAAAAAATTGAATTCACGAGCCAGCATGGAATTTCAGACTCTCTCGATGTCTATTACTCCTAAAACTTGATTTCTTTTTTTTAACAAAAGCAATCAAATTAGTGTAAAAAATCAGTATATTTTGTAATAGAGAAATTGATTTTAAAATAAATGATGTGTACGTACGAAGAGGGGAAGGGTTGTTGAAAATATACAGTTAAGTACAAGGAAAGGGCCATTCTAAATCAGCGTTTTTACTGCGCTTATGAAAGCGACAATGAAAAATACTTTTAATAATAAAAATTAGTTATATAAACTTATTAATATAAAAGAAGATTTGATATATATTAGCTTAATTAAGTATAGAAAGTTATAGAATCAAAATATGACACCACTAAACAAAAGGTTAACGGTAAAGACATGTCATAGTTTGATTCTACACCTGATGTCCACACCTTTTCGACTAGGAACATCCAAAAAAACTTGCATAACTGAAATAAATGGTACTGGAAAAGAGTTGTTACTCACTGTATCGGTATAAATACCGATACAGTGAGTAACATACATAAATACGGTATCGGTATACGGTTTTTTGTCTTAAATAAGAAAAAATTACTTAATTTTTCTAAAAAAGTTTTTAATAACCTCAATTTTTGTTATAACGAATTATTTGATTATATAAAGGTTCATATGAATCTTTAGAACTTGGATAAAAAAGCCATTAAAATGATCATATTAAAGTGAGTTTTTGTGAAGGCTGCTTCAAAACTCACTTTATATGGCCTTTTTTATCAAACAAAGCAAAAAAAGAGTAACAAGAGATGCATAGAATGAAAAGACAGTGGATACATCAAAACTCGTACGTTTTAAAGGAACTGGAATTTCTCATTTATACGTAATAACACTTTAAAAAGCGTTTTTACGGATAAAATTAAATTAAATTTTTTTTTCTGCATTCAATTTTTATAAAGACACGCAAAACAATTTCTTGGCTATTGAGTAATAGAAGAGTTGTAATTTAAAATGGTTTTCTTAAAAACAAAATAAATGAATTACTTGACCGTTTTTTTGCTAATTTAAATATTGGTTCTGGAGCTAAATCTGGCGCACAGTGGGACAGTAAGTGGACAAAAAATATTTAAGTTACAATGATGTCAGGGATGCAAAATTGAAATGTTATCCTGCAAATATAACAGTAGTACAATATTCCAGCAAGCACATAACGTTATTTCAACGTTTTTTCAACGATGAGAAATGGTTGATATATGGTTGAAAAATAACGATCTAATTTTCAACGTTATTTCAACGATAGTTCAACGTTTAAAAAAAAACGTTGAAATTTCAACATTGATTTCCAACTAAAAACAAACGTTGAATTGACGTTAAAAAATAAACGTTGAAGTAACGTTGAAATTACGTTGAAATTTAGATACGAGAGTTCGCCGACGTTGAAATTTAATATTTAATATAGATTTGTGCATGGGAAAGTTCTTTAAAAACTTTTAAAAGTAATAATGCAAGGGGCGAATTAAGGGATCGCGAATCGAATATATATATATATATCGAATATATATATATATCGAATATATATATATATATATATATATATATATATATATATATATTATATATATATATATATATATATATATATATATATATATATATATATATATATATATATATATTCGATATATATATATATTCGATATATATATATATATATATATATATATATATATATATATATATATATATATATATATATATATATATATATATATATATATATATATATATACATATATAATATACAATCAAAGTCTTATTATAATTATGAAACTGTAGTGTAGACCAGTATGTTTTGGTTTGTATAGTTAAAAGACAATGTTGTTTGTATAAATAAAATTCCATCAAGTTGAATAAAGAATGGTTTTGTCTGTTGTCCAAATCGAAATGTGAAGTTTGAAGTAAAAAATTGCAATAAAGTACAAAAGTTGGTTCGTATAAGTTTAAACTAAAATGTGATGAAACTACAGGTATTATAACCTATTATATTAGGTACGTGGACTGATTTTTTTAAATTGATCAAATACTAGAATGTTATATATTATTAGAAAGCCCTCAAATGCAGTATTTCAAAGGTGAAAAAATTGTGAAAATCGGACGATTCTATCAAAAGTTATGATTTCTTGATAAAACTGTGGTCAAAAAATTTTTTTTTTTCACATAAATTGTTATAACTTTGCTAATTCCTATTCAAATATCTATAAATTGGTATCAAAAGATAGGTGTAAAAAAGGGCTATAATTTTCAATTAGATTTTAGGTCAAGGGCCATTCAGGGATTCGTAGGGGGTGCTAATTCACCACCTACACCTCACAAAAATACACTTTTTTCATAAAAAAGTGTTTTTCTTTTAAAATCACAAATATTTATATACAAAAAACTGTTATTATATTATTCCACATCTAGCGAATATTACAAGTCTATCTCAAAGTTGGGTGTTGGGTTTTGAATAAGGTTTAACACACCCTATCAAAATTTCATTCTTTTAAATATATCAATCTTTACTAAAACAATTAATTTTAGTATAAAAAATAAAAAATATATTTTGATACTTGGAAAAATAGTAACTAGTGGTGTATAAATTGCCTTCATGAAAGGGGGTGTAAGCCGCCCCCTTCCGCCCAATACCTAAAAAAAAGTTTTAATGAGAGTTTAACAAAATATGTTTAAAAATGCTTTTTAAACACATGTAAAATAGTATAGAAAACTATTTTACCACGTTACAGTGGTGTATAAATTGCCTTCATGAAAGGGAGTGTAAGCCGCCTCCCTTCCGCCCCAAAGCTTAAAAAGAATTTATTTGAATTTAACAAAAAAAGTTTAAAAATGCTTTTTTAAACACGTATAAAATAGTTTAAAAAACTGTTTTACCGTGTTACAAGACTGCAAATAGATACAGCAAGTTTTGTGGCTTGCAAAAAAGTACAAGTTTTGTGGCTTGCCATTAGGTAAAGCAAGTTTGTTGTTGAATTCCAACCTAAAAAAAAACACAAATCAGCAAGTCTTTTGAAATAAAAAAAGTAATTAACTATTGTCTTGGCTTTACGTAAATGATTTATGTTTTGAATTCCATTTATGAACTAAATAAATCATTTTTAATGATAGACACCATGTAAAGGTAAGCCAGACCCATATATCAAAAAAATCTGCAAGCCACAAAACTTGCTGTACCTATTTGCAAGACACAAAACTTGCGGTAATTGTTTGCAAGTCACAAATCTTGCTGTACTTATTTGCAAGCCACAAAACTTGCTGTACCCATTTGCAAGCCACAAAACTTGTTTTTCCTTATTTGCAAGCCACAAAATTTGCTTTACCTAAAAGCAAGCCAAAAAGCTGTTGTACTTGTTTGCAAACCACAAAACTTGCTGTATCTATTTGCAATCCACAAACCTTGAAGTACTTGTTTGCAAGCCACAAAAAATTAAAAACTTTTATTTAGAATTTGTTTATTTAAAATAAAATCTTTTTATAAAATATAAATAAGCATTAAAGTTTTTCAAAAACGAAGAACAATCATAAAAAAATATTTCAATTTATACATTAACCTGGAGAAGATTGTGCTGCAGGAACTAAAAGTTAAAAAATGATGTAAACAACAAAAAATAAAATGAAATTGGGATTAAACCTATAGCATAATTTTAATGAGATAGACTATGCACTGCTAACAAAGAAATAGTTTTTTAATATACCAACCAAAGCAGATGTAGATGCAGCTAAAAATAAAAAATAAATAAAAATGTAATTAACAAAATAAATGACTTTTTTAGAAAAATCAAAACACTGCTGAAAAATAATTAGTTTTTAAACTTACTATTTGTGAAAAGGATGTAATCAACCAAAAAAATATTTGATTTAGGCATTAAATTATTACAGAGATTAAAAAGTAATAGCTTTTAAACATAGTAACTGTGGCAGATATAAATTAAAAAAAGGTGTAACCAAGAAAAAAAGTATTAGAAATTGGCTTTACATACACATATTACATACAAAGTGAACAAAGAAATAGCTTTTAAACTTTCCAAATGTGGTAGATGTTGATAAAACTAAAAGTAAAAATAAGCTGTAATCAATAAGAAAATTGAATTTGATATTAAATCTATAGTATAGCCATAACAAAATAAATGATATCGACGTCCACAGCAGGTGTCGATAAAGCTTAATGTAAAAAAGATGTAATTAATAGAAAAAAAAGAAGGATGTAGATGCAACTAATATCACGAAAAGATGCAATATAAAAATAAACAAAAAAGTTTGAAAATGAGATTAAATCAATACACTGCTGAAAAAGAATTGACTCTTAAACTTACCAACTGTTTCAGATGTAGATGGAACTATAAACAAAATGGATGTTATCCACAAAAAAAAGATATTGGCAATAAATCGTTAACAAGTTAAAAAATAATAGCTTTTAAATTTACTAATCACAGTTGTTTAAGAAATGACTTGAGATAAAAAAACATATGAATTAAACCAAAGCATACATCTTTAAATTTCTACTTATATAAACATGACCGAAATTGCAATATACAAACTTACCAGTGGAAGGCTGAGTTGATTGGACTAAAATTAACAAGAAAACTGTATATCAAAATAAAAAAAAAACCGTAAATTTGACAACAGTAAGCGAATAAGTAACAACAATCAAACAAGTTCTGCATAAAGTGCAACAACTTTATTGATAAAGTATATAATGAAAACATAATTACACGAGTAAACATTAAAAAAGGTTGTATAATGATTTAAACAATAAAAGAAAGATTATAAAAAAGATATCTTTTGTATTAAAAAACTTTTAAGGCATCAAAATGTTTATCTTATTATGAATAACATTAAAGATTATATTGTTCATGTCATCACTATATGTCACTATTATCTATCATGTCTATACATCTATACATCACTATCATATCTATACATCTATACATCTCTATCATATTGTATTACCATACTGTATAGCACTATCGTATCTATACATCACTATCATATCTATACACCTATACATCACTATCATATCTATACACCTATACATCACTATCATATCTATACACCTATACATCACTATCATATCTATACACCTATACATCACTATCATATCTGTACACCTATACATCACTATCATATCTATACACCTATACATCACTGTCATATCTATGCACCTATACATCACTATTATATCTATACACCTATACATCACTATCATATCTATACACCTATACATCACTATCATATCTATACACTATACACCACTATCATATCACTATACATCACTATCATATCATATCTATACACTATACACCACTATCATATCACTATACATCACTATCATATATCACTTACGGAATCTCAAAAACTAATGAAATAGTAAGCCTGCATCTAAACAAGAAGGAAACATTAAAAATGTTTGTGTAATAATTTAAACAATAATCAAAAGACTAAGTATTATACAATAGATAAATCATAAAAGATTAACATACCAAATGTTCTCAATGTAGATAAAGCTAAAGGTAAAAAAAATGTAAAGAACAAAACATACATAGTTTTTGCCAACAAATCTTTACATAGTTGTTTTAAAAAAAAAGTTTTTAAACTTACCAACCATAGCAGATGGCGACAAAGCTAAAGGTAAAAAAACTAACCAAAATAACTTTGATTTCGACATTAACTCTATACAGATCTGAAAAAATTTACCACTGGCAGACGTTGATAAAACTAAAAGAAAAATAAGGTGTCATCCAATAAAATAAAAAAAGGTATTAAACTTATAGTATAGCTTTAAAGAATAAGTAGAAACACCTAGTAAAAAAATACTTATTTAACTTACCAACTGTATCAGATGACGATGAAGCTAAAGTTAAAAAGGGTGTAATATAAAAAAAAAAAATACACATTTTTGGCAAAAAATCCAATAAAACAATTTTTTAATGAGCAAAGAAAAGTACTGTGTAAATAACAAAATAAAGGCGTAAATAACAAAAATTAGAGGTTACTTAAAAAAAAGTATTGAATAGGTTTTATCTAGTCAATGATTTTTAAAAGTTTAACAAAAAAATACTTGTAAAAGTAATAAACAATAGCATTATTATAAAAAACATATAAACTTACTATCTGTTTGATTACCCAGTTCATTTATATCATTCATTTTTTAAATTACTAACAATCTAAGTGAAACAATATGCAATAAACATTTTTAAAGAAAAAAAAACTCTCTCCCCCTCAGCCCCACCTCGGCTATTTTTGAAAACAGAAATTAGGTACCAAAAGTGTTTAACTGAATTAACTAATTGCTACATAATATTTTTTCATGAAATTTAGCAGGTGCAAAGGAAATGCATGTAGAAACTTATTTAAAAAATCAAAAAAGCGGAATATAGATTCCTTCAACAATAATTTAACAAGTAAACATCAACATAATTTTCATGAGCAAAATAGTCATGAAAATGACAATTGTATAAAATAATAACACAAAAAACAAGCCTAACTTTTTTTCTTTCTGAAAATATACTATGTGTATATATGTTTCTGAAAAAAAAACCAACAAAAAAACGTTTGCCTAACCCTACTCAAAAAAACGAAATGGGAAATCCGCTAAAAAAAAATCGGAAAAACAGAAATTAGGTACCAAAAGTGCTAAACTGATATAACTATCTGCTACATAATATTATTCAATAAAATTTGGTATGTGCAAAGTAAATGCATGTAAAAACTTATTTAAAGAATCAAAAAGCGGAATAAAGAGTCCTTCGACAAGAATTTGATAAGTAAACACCAACCTATTTTTCATGAGCCAAATGCTCCAAAAAATGGACAACCGTACGTAAAAATAACATAAAAAACAAGCTTAACTCTTCTTCTTTCCAAAAATATACTAAGTTTTTATATGTTTCCGAAAAGAAAATCCTCAAAAATACGTTTGCCTTAGGCTACCTAAAAAAAACGTCAAAAAAACGAATCACAGAATTTTAGCACAAAATTCGGCTCCGTAAATCGCTATTTCCGCGTACCTAATTATATATAAATGATTATTACATATATTTATAAGAGCAGTATTAAAGACCATTTAATCTTTATCAAATCTTATGTAAAGTATTTATTGTATTCTTTTTGTTAGGAACTGGTATAATAACATCAGGTAAAACAAAAACTTATAAACTGGATTGCAGGCATTAACATAACTCCAAAGTAGGTTTTACTCCATAACTCCAAAGTAGGTTTAGTAGGATTTACATTTTACCGTTGTTTTTTTTATATTTTGTTGCATTATTAAAATAAAACAAAGATGGCTTGCACAAAAAATTAAAACTTTAGTTAAAAATTAAAAAAATAGACTAGTTAATGTAGGCTTTAATAATATAGGAGCTAAAGTATACCATAAAGCCATTTTTAAATATATCTACTTTGTTTTATCATGTGCATATAATGCTCATCCAGAGAGAGGAGCCAGATGGAGTTTAAATTTAGTAAACGTTCTGGTTATATAATCCATAAACATTCTGGGTATATAATACATGTCATTATATAAACATTATGAAAGCTACAACGAATGTAAATCATGACTTTTTTAATTAACTTTTATTACTCTACCATCATAGATAATTGTCTTGGATTTGTCAATATTGTACCATTCATGACAACTTTCTGCTAATATTTTTTTTTACACATAATATAATCTAAATCATCAAGTTGCATAGATGACTATTTGTTAAACAAATTTCTTATTTCTTCTTATTATTTTATTTATTTCTATTATTAATATTATAATTTTTCATTTACTTTAATTCTATTAATTACTTATTATTTTCTTATTTATAGTATCTATAAAAAAGTTAGGACTTATAAAAAAAGAAAAAGTTGTTCAAAGTTGCTAACAGCACGCTCAAATAAGAGCTAAGATTTTTCTTAATAGAGACTTCAAAACAGCAAAATATTTATTAAAAGAAGAAAGTTAGGGAAAAAGCTGTTTACAAACAGCTTTTTCCCTAACTTTCTTAATTTTTTTTTTAATATTTCAATATATCCGTTGAGTATCAAATAACACTTGAATAGACTTGTCTAGATTAGATTGTCTAATAACTCTCAGTTGTATTCATGTCTGGTTTTTAAGATTTTAAATAAGATTTTGTTTATCACATTTTTTTGCCATGATTTCATCATTTTTTTAATAAAATCAAATCATATGATTTGAGTATTCCATTAATTTAACTGATTTGTAATTTCATAGTATTTTTACTTTTTTTAATTAAATTTATTTTGATTTGGCAGGTTAATGGCAAATTGAAGAACAAAGTTTTACATGACCTAATATAAAACAAAACAAACAAAAGAAAATGGATTTTAAATATTTACAAGGTGTTATTGGTATGTATATTATATTTTTTTGCGCTGTTCCCACCAATATATATATATATATATATATATATATATATATATATATATATATATATATATATATATATATATATATATATATATATATATATATATATATATATATATATATATATATACATATATATATATATATATGTATATATATATATATATATATATATATATATATATATATATATATATATATATATATATATATATATATATATATATATATATATATATATATATATATATTGTAGAAATAGTGACATTATTCATTTCTTGTTTTTATATTGTTTTATATTGTTGTTGTTTAAACTTATTGTTATTTCATTTAGAAACTAACATTGTTTAAGATATAATTATAATTGAGAACAACGACTAACTTTTGCTTATGTTAGTTTCTTATGCATTCTATGGAATTTTAAAGAAACACTGGTATTTCAAAGATAAAAACTTCTTATCAGTGGTTGAAATTGTAATTCACTTACATATTCGTTTGAAGTTGTTAATGTACACACAAAAGGTAGGATTTTGCTAACCTTTTTCTTTCCTACATTATGTCCACAATAAGCTTACCTTGCCAGGCCCCAGGATGCAATGTCGTCATTGAAGGTTCCAGCGAAGCAATTGCAATTGCATTATTCAACAGTCACCAGCTTCACCATCCTCCAAACTTGATTGACACTCATTCAGCCTTCTCAAAACACAAGGCACCTAAAATGGATTGCCCCCACATCGGTCAGGATATCTCAGAAGAAGAGTGGGCAAACTTTATTAGTCGCTGGACATTGTTTAAGAGATGTACAGACATCAGACAAGAAGAGATGACAGCACAGCTGTTTCAGTGCCGTGAGGACGACCTTGGAAATCAACTTCTAAAAGAAAATCTCATGATAATTAATGAAAACGATGAGGCATTTCTAAAAGCAATGAAAAAACTGGCCGTTATCCCAGTAGCCACTTGCGTCAGAAGAACAGAAAATTGCGTCAAATGAGACAGGGACACAACGAAAGTATTCGGTCATTTTATGCAAAACTGAAAGGCAAGGCTGCTACTTGCAACTACACTGTTCAATGCCACTGCCACCCACAAACAACTGTTGATTTTACCGATGTTATCATACGAGACTTTGTTGTTGCTGGGCTATCAGGCACTGATATCCGCAAAGATGTACTTGGATGGGTCCCCTTGACACAGCCTCAGTCACAGATATCATTGCTTTTATAGAGGGTAAAGAAATGGCACGAAATGCACTAGGCTGTAGTTCAACAACAGCAAGTGTATCAACTTTCAGGAAACAAAACAAGAGCAATACACAGAGTAGTAAAGAGACCAATATAACAGCCAAATGTCCAGATTGCTCAGAATCTTACAGTTTATTTACAGAAACATCCAGAGGATGGAACAAAAAACCCCATAAGCTGTGTCTGTGACTGTGGGAAGAAGCTCAGATCTTGCACTTCTAAAATTATTAACAGAATCATCCCAAATGATAAGAAATCGAATGCAACCAAAGATGCTGAGGCACGCGGACTTGTGTTAAAGTTAAGTGCAATTGAGCATTCAAATAAAAAAATTAGATCACAAATGAAGACCAATGTGAAACGACCCTGCACAGGAATAAACCATCACATATTTACCCATGATGGATGGGCCACAGCTCAATTGCTTGTTCATCCTACAGTTCAGCTGCGTGTGACTACTAACAAATCAGACTATGTCGCATTTGGTATTCCATTTCCTCCTATTATACCAAAATATATACAAGTTATTACAGATACCGGTGCACAGTCCTGCTTATGGTCTAGGAAAGGGTTTGACAGTGCAGGCTTTAATGCAAACAATTTAATACCTGTGAAACATAGCATGTCGGCCGCAAATAAAACCCAATTTCGTATAGATGGTGCAATTCTTTTACGTCTCGAAGGACGACAATCTAATATCCACAAAGTTGAATGTGCAGTAATGGTTTACATAAGTCCAGACGCAAACGGATTCTACCTATCTAAAGAAGCAATGACCCAACTAGGTATCATCTCTAAGGACTTTCCAGAGATAGGCAGTGCCCTCCACGGAGCTATTAACTCAGGCCCTCAAACTATAGGGACCAAAACATCCAGTGAAAATAATAGCTCACACGTGTGCAATTGCCCCAAAAGAAGTCTCCCAGCAGGTGCACCCACCAAACTTCCATTTGTCTGCTGTCCTGAAAACAACGAACGGATGAAAGCGTGGCTCCTTGAAAGATACTCTGCTTCAACATTCAACACATGTCCACACCAGATTTTACCTGATATGGAGGGACCTCCAATAAGTATTTTAATTCAAGAAAATGCCAAACCAGTTGCAGCATTTACTCCAGCCACCATACCAATCCATTGGCAAGACCAGGTGGAAAAAGATTTAATTCGTGATGAAACTCTTGGAGTTATTAAAAAGGTACCTCTAGGAGAACCTACAACATGGTGTCATAGAATGGTTATCACACGTAAGCATGACGGTGGGCCTCGTCGCACTGTTGATCTATCTCCTTTAAACAAGTACTGCTACAGAGAAACTCATGCAATGAAATCGTCTTTCCAACTAGCTCGTTCAGTCCCAAGAAATTCATGGAAAACTGTAACCGACGCATGGAATGGTTATCATAGCATTCCGATACGGGTTGAAGACAGGAATCTTACCACCTTCATTACTCCTTTTGGGCGCTACAAATACATCCGAGCTCCTCAAGGTTTTGTATCTAGTGGGGATGGCTACAACAGACGTTTCGACGAAATTTTAGCAGACTTTATTGGCAAACAAAGATGTGTAGATGACACCATCCACTACGATGACGACCTAGTCAAACATTGGTGGCGGACAATCGAATTTCTTGAGCTTGTTGGTAAAGCTGGGATCATTTTGAACCCACAAAAACTCCAATTTGCTAAAAGAATAGTGGATTTTGCAGGTTTCAGAATATCTGAAAATGGAGTTGAACCACTACCTAAATATATCGACGCCATTAGATCATTTCCAACACCATCCTCAATAACAGACATCCGATCTTGGTTCGGCTTAGTGACCCAAGTATCACATTACGCTCAACTTCGAGAAACTATGGCCCCATTCAGAGTTCTGCTTAGCCCTAAATCAAAATTTTATTGGTCGGACGAACTCAACACTTTATTCAACGTGTCAAAGGAAAAAATCATCTACGCAATTAAAGATGGAGTCCAAATATTTGACATTACCTAGAAGACCTATTTAAGATGCGACTGGTTAAAATTGGGCATAGGATATTACCTAAGTCAAAAACATTGTTAATGTAAATCGGACTCCCCAGATTGCTGTATAGACGGATGGAAAATAACCCTAGCAGGTCCAGATTCCTGTCATCTGCTGAATAACGATATGCACCAGTTGAGGGCAAAATGCTAGGAGTGGCAGAGAGCCTGGAGCAGACTAAATATTTCACACAAGGTTGTGATAACCTTATGGTAGTAACTGATCATAAACCACTTGTCAAATTATTAGGAGATAGGACCTTAGATGAAATTGCCAACACACGACTTTTCCGACTAAAACAGAGAACTTTGCCATGGAAATTTACCATCCAACATCAACCAGGAAAAACAAACCTGGCAGCAGATGCTACTTCTCGTTACCCTGCAGAGAACACAAAAGAATCTGATAATTCAGCCAATCAAAATACCGATAATTCTTGCAATCAAAATACCGATTTTAACAACACAGAATCACTAATAATAGTCTCGATACGAACGACATAGATAAAATGATTGCAGTAACATGGGATAGTGTCAAAGCAGAGACAGAAAAGGATACCGATTTTAAAGCATTAATGTTAGCAATAGGAAACGGTTTCCCAAAAAATAAGAACAACTTCATACCAAATCTTTTACAGTTCTGGGAATACCGCAATGACTTGATGGTGTCCGACGGGGTTATAATTTACAACGACAGAATTGTAATCCCACCTAGTCTACGTAAAGAGATATTGGACGTACTACACTCAGCCCACCAAGGAGTATCGGGAATGATAGCCAGAGCTCAAGCCACTGTTTTCTGGCCAGGTATCACTCACAGCATACAAAGTAAGCGCAATAACTGTTGCAGCTGTAATCGAAATGCACCTTCTAATGCACGACTACAACCCATCCGACCTCACATCCCTGTGACACCATTTGAATGCATATTTGCTGACTATTTTGAATTCCGTGGCTGGGATTATCTGGTCATTGGAGATGACCTTCTGGATGGACCGAAGCCTACAGAATAAAATCAGGATCATCAGAAATGAGTGCAAAAGGTCTTATCACGTGCTTACGTAAACTATTTACAACATTTGGAGTCCCAGAAGAAATTTCAACCGACGGTGGTCCTCAATTCACCTCTGGAGAAACAAAAGAGTTTCTACAACAATGGGGCATAACTCATCGCATTTCATCAGCACACCACCCACAATCTAATGGAAGAGCTGAGCTTGCAGTTAAGTCAACAAAACGCCTCCTCGAAAATAATGTGGGACCAAATGGTGATCTCAATAATAACGCTTTTGTAACTGCAATGCTTACAATAAGAAACACACCAGACCCTACTTGTCAGTTATCCCCCGCTCAAGTATTATTTGGCCATCCCATTCGCGACGCCATGCCCAGGATAAAATCCAGAATACCTATGTTTAATAACAACCAATTCTTGAAAACGTGGAGACATGCATGGTCTGCAAAAGAAGAAGCATTACGAACGAGATATGCAAAGACCCTTCACCATCTACAGTATTGCTACTGCCTTCTACATTAGCACCAGCAGTACCACCACTACCTCTACCAACAACTCCAGTACCCTTACCGTTGATGCCAGCATCTTTATCAACAAGCTCGCTGCATCTAGCGATGCCACCTTTATTAAATACTGAAATCGTAGGAGATCATCCATTAAAACGTTCATCCAGACTACGTATCCCCAAAAAATTCTACCTACCAGAAACCGGGAAATCTTTGACATTAGATGACTTTAAGAAATGAACCCAGAAATTATGTTTATATTCATTGACACTTAAAAACATGGAAAGGGATGTAGAAATAGTGACATTATTCATTTCTTGTTTTTATATTGTTTTATATTGTTGTTGTTTAAACTTATATATATATATATATATATATATATATATATATATATATATATATTATATATATATATATATATATATATATATATATATGCACATGGTTCTACTAAACAAATGTTTAGTAGAACCATGTATATATATATATATATATATATATACATGGTTCTACTAAAACAGAATGGTTCTACTAAACGAATGTTTGACTTGAGCAACTGCCTAAAAGGTTTATGTTATGTGTGTATATAAGTTGATGTATGAGGTTAATGTATAATGTATCTTTATTCAAATAGGTTTATATCTCGGTCAATAATGAAGTAAATTAGGCATGGATCAGTTATGGGTTGTTTTTTTTTCCACTATTGATCACTTAATGTTCACATTCGCTTGTGAACAATGTAAAGTATAATAATACTTTTAAAATGTACAAATGTACCTTTAATTTACCCAATGTACAATTAATTTAAAGTTATTTTTATTTAGATGCAGTTACCTGATGTTCTTAAATAAAAAGACACAATGCAAAAAGATAGAATTTAAACTGTTTGAACTTTGCACCATATTGATTGGATCGTGAGAAATGTGAATCAAACCAAAATGAGCAGGCAATAAAAATACATATGATTTTGACATTGGTGTTGAAGATAAAGATATCATCATTTTATCAAGATCGTTTTGAAAATAATTTTAACTTTTGTATAAGTTTTAAATTTTGTTAAAGTTTTAAATTTTGTATAAGTTTTTTTTCTAAAAATGTATAAATTATTATTTTGGTTTTATTTGCTTTCAATAATGGCTTTTCAATTTCTATAATTTAGTTAACTGCGTTAAAAAAATGGTACAGGACAGATTATTTGTAATACTATAACAGCAATTAGTATTATAATATAAAATAAATTATTAATACTACTAATAATAATAAGCTTTAAAAATTGAGAACATGACGTGCAGTATAATAGCATAAGATATTGTACTATGACCGCTATTATAAGTTTATAAAAAATTATTGTTTCTTTTCTTACTCATAACAACACAATATTGTACAAAAAATGTTTTTTCAGATTAAAAGAGTCACGGCGCATAAATTTGTATTTTTGAGGTTTACAAACTCATATATAAGTTGGTTGAATCAATGTTAATCTAACGTTGATTTTTCAACGTTGATCTAACGTTTTTTTTTTCAACAATGATTTGTGTTTCCATTTCAACCAAAAATCAACCATAAACTTCAACGGTTTTTCAACGTTGATTGTGCTTGCTGGGATGTAGCTAAACAAAAGATTCAGACTGATTTTACGAACAATTGGGACTTGTTCTCAATTTCCTAGTAGTATTGATCAAAACCTTATATTCAGATTTTTTATTATCTTGGTAGTAGTCTCTTCAGGATATGAAGTAGACTGTTTAAAGTTCAAGGATAACTGTTTTGACACTGTTAGATTATATGTGTCTCTTTATCCATGGTATTACTTGCAACTAAATAAAAAAAATTATCACTTTTATAAGAAGCATGATCTCATATTGGTACTCATGCCAAATTTAGTAAATATAGCACTCGTAAAATATTTGCAAATGCCAAAAATAGGTTGTTACTAAGCAAATTAAAGGTATCCATAGCAACGAAATAAAAAAATATTACCTTCATAAACAGCGCTGACATCATATTAGTACTCATGCTAATTTTAGTGAATACAGATACATAATCAAAATTAAATTAGTATAAATACATACATAATCAAAATTAAATTAGTAATGAACTTTGTCCAGTACTTTGTATCGCGAACCCAATAAAGAAAACTGGTTTAAATGACACGAGTTCCATTATTCCGCAATAATTTCAGGTTTTACGAATATACTGACTTTATTTAATTACTGATTGTTATATTTACAACCATGTTTAATTTATCTTATAAAAATAGAAGGGTTTTTTTAATACTATTAAAAAATATATATAATTAATGATCGGCAAAGTTTTGCCGTTCCTGGTTCCGGTTTGACCCAGTTTTATTCACAAGATGGGGTAGCAGACAAGTTTGACGTTAGCGTCATCATTTATGATATTAAAATTTAATTTAATTTTGAACAGAAATATGTATTATAATTTGTCTAATAGTGGAGTAGAAACAAAATTCAATAAATACCGATTGCTGAGTTTTTTTCAATTTTAAAAATCTTATAAAAACTCAATATACAATGCGACACATTAGCACAATTTATAATAGAAATATACAAAGCAGTTTTGTTTTAAAATGTTCACGAAAACGTAACAAAAATATCAAATATAGAAAATATCAAATATTGTATAAATCATTGTACCAAAAACTATAAAAATGTCAATGTTAATTATCAAAATTATTTAAAAGAAAAATTTCAGAAATGTAAATATTACAGGGTAAAGTTATAGGTTACAGTTTAAATTATTAGTTAACGCTACCATTTAACATTATAACTGGTAACCAGCTCCTTTCTCGTTATATCGATCAGCCTGAGGATAGAGGGGTAGCGTATCGTTACCATCGTGTAAGCATTCCAATACTTCACGATACAGAATGGGGTTTTTCTTTTGGATAAACTCTAAGTATTCACGTTCGCGTAATGTAAGTGATCTGATTTTTTTTCCGCCATAATTATCTCTAAAAAAACACAAAATAGGTATGTATGTATGTATGTATGTATGTATGTATGTATGTATGTATGTATGTATGTATGTATGTATGTATGTATGTATGTATGTATGAATGTATGTATGAATGTATGTATTTACAAGACAGTGCCGACTTTACTACCGACCTAAAAGTGTTTGAGGTCGCCAAAAATCGCCGATCTTGTTTTTATGTTTGGTTTAACTCTTTTGTGTCAAATTTTTTTTTCGCCGTGATCTTGACTTTTTTATTTTATAAATATTTTTCATAAGTTTTAACACAAAACGAGTGTTTAAGAATTTTATATAAAATAAACTATTTAATAAGATTTTCTCTTTGCAAACTTATTTTAATAACAAATTCAAATAAAATCTAATGCATAATAACTACTTTTAGATAAACAAAAAAATTAATATTGCTATTTTTACTTCTGTTTGTAGTACCTTTAACGAGTTAACATCAAGATATATACAATATATACCATAAAAATAAGTGAGAAAGATAAATTTAAAGAAAAAAAAAAGGAATTTTTTGCTTTACATTTATAAAACACAGTTATGTACAACATATTTATTTTTATTTTAATCTCGCAAATTAAAATTTTTATCTGGCGTCAAATAAAATTATGAGACTAAAATACCACAAATATAGAAAAATAGTATTTAATTTTAGCCTACATAATTTTTATGCAGTTTGATGCTTCATATCTTGTTTGAAAGATACGTTCAAAAAAAAAAAAAAAGCGATTAAAACAACTAAAACTGAAATTAAAAAACTTAAAATCAAAAGCATTCGATAGAGCTCATAAAAAATAAAAAATAAAAGTAAATCAAAGCAGCTTCTTTTTCAGGATGCAGACAATCAGATATGTCAAGAGCAAATGACGAAAACAATGTTTTTTTTTATCATATAGATAATTTCACTCTATCACTTTTTTTTAAAGATAATTTTTCGAATGTTTAATCTAAAATGTTTTAATTTGAGAACCTTTTAAATAAAAGATAATTGAGCTAAATTAAATTTTAAATTTTATTCACTTCCGATAACCATACGCAAAACGATTTTGAATTTGGAGTTATCTACAAAATACGTTAAGAGATGTGGAAGGGTTTAGCAATTTAGACATGATTTGTTACAGGAGGAGGGGTGTGGTATCCAAGTTTATAACTTTTGATTAAAATAATGTAAACCCAAATATAAACCCATGCATATCAGTCATTAATATATCACCAATGAAAAAATAATTAATAATAATATAACTATAAAATTATTAAATAAAAACTAATAATAAAATAACTACTAAATTATTAAATAAAAACTAATAATAACATAAGTACTAAATTATTAAATAAAAAATAATAATAATAAATTTTTAAATAAAAACTAAAAATACAACTATTAAACTATTAAATAAAAACTAATAACAATATAACTAATAAATTATTAAATAAAAACTAATAATAATATAACTACTAAATTATTAAATAAAAAATAATACTAATATAACTAATAAATTATTAAATAAAAACTAAAAATACAACTATTAATTTATTAAATAAAAACTAATAACAATATAACTAATAAATTATTAAATAAAAACTAATAATAATTATAACTACTAAATTATTAAATAAAAACTAATAATAATTATAACTACTAAATTATTAAATAAAAACTAATAACAATATAACTAATAAATTATTAAATAAAAACTAATAACAATATAACTATTAAATTATTAAATAAAAACTAATAGTAATATAACTATTATTAAACAACAATAATAGTTAATTAGTTAATAGTTAAAATATATTCCGTCATTTTTTTTTTTTTTTTTTTTGGGGGGGGGGGGGAGAAACAAAAAGTGACGACTTGTTTACTAGGGAAAGGGTCAAAAACTTAAGTTAAAACTTGCGTGACGTAATTTATGGACGATTTTTAAGTTAATTTAAAAGTTTAAAATATTAAAAAATGTATCGGCCTCCGGATATAAAAATTCAAAGAATTGGAAACATGTAAAAAATTTTATATAGCATTAAGACACTTGGGTATGTTCTGTAAAAACGGTATGTTTTTGAAAAGAAGTAAATTTTTTAATTGCTCGCATTTTTTAGTAGTCAAAACAAGTGCGTTAGAGCGATACAAATAGATGTCCCGCTGTGGCACAAATGTTAAATTTTAAATAAAGACTCTGTAATTAAATGATATTAAATTATATATATATATATATATATATATATATATATATATATATATATATATATATATATATAAATATATCTTATACTTCTGAGTTAGGTGAGCATGATGATGTCATACTCACCTAACGTCAAATAGCCTGCTGCCGGGGGCTTCAGTACATACATCGACTGACAAATAACCTGACTCGCAGTGGAGTGCTGCTACATCGACTGAGGGTTTGGTATGGGTCAGCAACCTTTTCATTCATTATTCTTCGTTTTCCCTCATCGTTTTCTAAAAGGCTCACTTAATTTAGGCAAGCAAAAAAAGTGAGCAATTGCACATATAAATATGCTATAGTAGATATATATATATATATATATATATATATATATATATATATATATATATATATATATATATATATATATATATATATATATATATATATATATATAGTTAAACAAAATCAAAATTTACTTTGCTCCAAACATATTAACGGCATAGGATACAAGTAGAAGAATTAAACCAATAACGGAGATAACGATGCCAAACACAATTGCAAACCAAACAATAACAAGACTGTATTGATAAAGAATATTTTGTGAAAGTTCACATATTAACTTATGCTTGTTTGCAGTGCTGTGCTTAATGTCCTTTGAAGATTCATACATTTCACAGTATCCAAAAGGTGGAAGCAAAACATTTCCTTAAAAACAAAAAATTTATGAAAATACACTTTCGTCGAAGTTTTGAGTTATACTTCACAATAGTGCGCAACTCACTTTTACACGCATCTTAAAAATCAAAAACAAATCAAATTTTTATTGCTTTCTTCTTTTTTAAAGGTGCATGGCGTTGTTAGGTTCGTGTGCTCTGCTAGTTGTTGTTCTGAGAAAACTTTGCGCTTAATATAAAATTTCACATTTTTCTGATTGGCACAGCTAATCAAATAAATTCACGCAACAAGTTTTCCATAGATAAACGTGTTATTGATAAATTTCTTCCGGGCGATATGTAACGCCCGGAAGATATTTATAAAAAAGAATTTACTTTTATCAAAATTGGGGTAGAGGATTTAAGTTTGAGTTTTGCTCCATGTTTGAAAGTTACCTTTCTCAAACTTAAAAAAAATGCTATCGCGATCCCTGATTTTAAAAAATAAATAATTTGCGTTTACTGCGCTGTAAAAGTAATAAAGAAATTAAGCTTTTTTTTTACATTAATGAAATTCATTAACTCAAAAAATAACCATTGATTTCATTGCGTTTGACGTTTTTAAATAATTATATAAGTTATACGTCACTTATACACTATCTTACCAGGTTTTGGTTGATCGTATTTTCCCATATAATCGTAAGCAACTGCGTTGTCAAGTTTTGCCCAAGAAACCCATTTGCTACCGTAGGAGACAAATTCGCCATTAAGAAGATTATCGAGGCCTGCAAAAATAAAAAAAAATTTTAAACGCTTCAAATTTAAGTTGATTAGAGATTAAAAAAAATATTGGAATTGTATGTATATATTTTAAACAAAATAAATTTTTCACAAATATTACAACACGTCAAAACCTCATCCACTCATCCAAAATTAATATAACTTTGATACTGTCTATGCTTAAACTACATTGGCACAAATTTATTAAACTTTTGTGTGTGCCATGGAAAAAAAAAATTTTCTACCCTAATGATTATGTATTTAAATTGATAACTGTGTTAAAAAAAAGTTACAACTAAAACATTTGAAAACATACCCAAAAAAGCCACCAAGTTGGCAACAATGTACAATACTTTAATTAAAATATTGAACACCACTCTCAATGTCATATTGCGAGATGGGTTTGAATGTCTGTCAAAGAAGTTTTTGGCAATTTTTTCAGCATTAGCTGTTCCACCTTTAATAGTATTTTTAAGACTGATAAGATCGCTGTTAGCCGAACGAAAGCCAATGTAAGGCAAATAATAGAGTATGGACAACGCAGCAATTAAAAAAGGCATCCATTGATACTAAAACAAAAAATTATATTCATCTATCGTATTTTAACAGGAACTGAATATAAAACCTAATAAATGAAGAATTTGCTTTTATATTAAATTTAAATTTTGATATTGCCTACCTGTAAAAAGAATGTTTTCTGCATTGGCTTGCATTTATCATTGACAACCCCAAATTTAGGCGTAGTCGAACATAATTCTCCAGAAGCAAGCATACCATCATTGTCCATGTCTTTAGGAATACCAAAATAACCAACCTCGCTTGATCTGTACATTAACTCCTTGTATACATACACCCCTTGTATCCAACAAGCTTGCGAAACAAATCCGCCATCGACGGCGTTGACCCCTTAAAAGTTATTCAAAAATTTTAATGATTTTCTTAGTTTATCAATCTATAGCGTAGTTATTATAAAATTGTTTTTAAGTAAATTGAAGTAAAAATAATAACAAGAAATATAAAGCGTAGGTTTATATCGCCTCGTTTAAATGAATTCAATCCCGCTCAAAGATATTTACTGATATTTCTTTTTTTTAAATACTGTTGGTTTATAAAATAATACCTGGTACTAAGCATTTAACAGAGTCATTGAACCAGCTTATTCCCATAATTACGCAAGTAACGAGTAAAATCTTTACCATGAAAATGCGATTGTACTGATCGGTGTATGTGTCGTTTCGCGGTTTTATTTTTACCGACAGCATACCCTTGATATCCGTTGCAATCATCGCCATTTTTGAGATTGAAGTAAATTACTTTTAAATATTAATTTTTTTTAATTCTCTCTAGATAAAAAAACTAATATATAAGAACAAAATTTTAAGCAATTTAAAAAACACAGAAGAGACAAACTTATACACTGACGTTTGTCGTATTTGACTAGTGACGCCCCTGTATAATGATTTGGAAGAAAGAATGCGTTTTGTTTAGAATATGATTTTTACTTTTCCATATCATAGTCTAGCCAGAAATTTACGAAATAATAATTTTCTAACATAAGTTAAAAAGCAATTAGTTAAACCATAATATAAAAAAAATTTTCTCTTCAAATTTTTATTTTATTAAAGCGTTTCATATTAAATATCGTTTACTAAAGCGTTTCACATTATATATACACTTAAAAAATTGTAATTTAGCGAACCTTTGAAAATATCTCCAACCGCAAATGAAAAAATCTAGCCACGTCTTACATTTTAACCTTCACACTGCATTATTATCTCATCAAATCGAGGCTTTAAGTTTAAATATTGTTTCTTTGTTTGTTAATTGATATTATATTACATCGCCTCGTCATCTTTTATAAAAAGGAAAGTATTAAGTAAATGCAAATAAAGTCATTCAATAAGACTTCCGCACAGAGTTTAATTACATCATACTTTTTTTTTTTAAAGTTTAATTAGTTCAAAAATCTTTTTGATTTAATCAATTAAATTGTAACATAAATTTTTTAAGATTTATATAAAGTTGCGAAGAAAAATTTCACCAAATTTTTATCAAATTCTTTTACACTATATCACCATCATCATGTATATATTTATTTGATGAACTTAAATATATATATATATATATATATATATATATATATATATATATATATATATATATATATATATATATATATATATATATATATATATATATATAGATAGATATATAGATATATAAAAAATATGCGTATATATATATATATATATATATATATATATATATATATAGTTATATATACAATATATACTATATATATATATATATATATATATATATATATATATATATATATATATATATATATATATATATATATATATATATATATAATCATATATTATGTTTATAATATATGTATTATCAAAGCCGACGACACCTGAAGGGGAGGGGGGCAGAGGCCTTTTTTTCTAAAGGACCTTTTTTTTAAAGAAAATTCTAGATATAGAGAACTTTTTTGAAAAATTTACTCCACTTCGAAACCCGTTTCGTCGGCCCTGATTATATATATAATATATGTACTATATGTATTATATGTATAATATATTATATATATATATATATATATATATATATATATATATATATATATATATATATATATATATATATATATATATATATATATATATGTAGTATGTATTATATCTGTAATATATATTATATATATAATACTTACATTATATATAGTATATATATTATATATATATAGCTTATATTATATACTTATAATATATATATATATATATATATATATATATATATATATATATATATATATATATATATATATATATATATATATATATATATATATATATATATATATATATTAAACCGAATAAAAAGATGTTATAGCTATTTATAATTAAAAAAAAAAATATGTGCCTGTAAAATATAGTATTTCGCGAGGTGAAAAATATCATTTGTTTAATTCTATTACTTACTTCTGTCGCAAAGTTTAACTGTTAAAGTTTGATGTTGTTTGTTACTTAAAAAAGTTTGTTCACAAAGCGCTTTGCGCATAATCTAATAACTCTTTAATGTGAAAATAGCAAATATCACGGTTGACTTTGAAAATCTTCATTAACAATTTTTTTGTCCAAATATCGGATAAAGCTTTGTTTATTTTTAATGCGACTATTGTGTTAAGAAAATAAGTAATTAAAGTTTGACATAAACTATTATGAACAATGGATGACATGACTTCAGTTTTTTCAACAAGAATGCGTGCATTTGTATACGCCTTTTTTAAAAGAATAATAGGCTTCGTGCAAAATAAAACGGGCCAATTGGAATCATAAGTTTATTAATTTAATTTATTTTTTTTTTGAAATGATTTTGTCATTGAAAGCATCGTTTTTTTACCCGACTTACGTCAATACGATTAATTTAAGGTTTATAGATATTGTATAAATACTTTTCAAGTAGATGCCGACATTATATTACGTCACTAGGTCGCAATATTTCGATCTTTTTGACCCTCCTTCTTTTTATTTTGAAAATTCATTATAAATTGCAATCCCTTAAAAGCACGTAACAATTTTTTTGTAATGTGCTAAATACGGCTAAGTACAATAAATACCATAAATGAAGCATTTAATAAAGTAGGTTTTTTTAAAAAAAAAAAAGAAAGATAGAGAAATTTCTTTAGAGACTAAAATTTGTAATCTTGTAATGTTGATGTAATCTTGTAGTGTTAATTTATCAAGCGAAGATTTTATAAAATATTGTTTATTGCAAACGCATTATTTTCTTTAGCGCGTACTCTGATAAAATTCAATAGAAGGGTTTTAAAACGAACTTACGTTTTAAAAAGTACGTTTACATAAAGACATAAAATGATATTTTTCATTCTTATTCAAACAAAATCTTGTTTCAACATTTCTAGAAGACTTGTAAAGTTACTAAACTACCGCATAAAAAAGAAAACAAAAACAAACTAAACAAAAAAAAAAAAAGAAAAAAAAAGACGCTCTTGGAAACAACAATAATCTTGTTACCTTTATTCAAAAACAAAAGATAAAACAGGTCGTAAGCAAAGTATATTATATTGCGACAAAATTATTAATTTCGTCGCAATATATGCTAAAACGAAAATTTTCAGGTTTTTTACGGGTTGCCTTATTATAATATTTTTTACGGGTTGCCTTATTATAAAACGAAAATTATATTGGGAGGGGGTGGGGGCAGTACTACCCCAAAATAGTTTTAAGGACCTTTTTTTTTTAGTCAATTAGTCAATTTCTTCAAAATTATTTATTTGAAAAATTATTGTTTTTTTTTTGGGGGGGGGGGGATTTGCCCCTGCTGCCCACCCAGTTGTTACGGGCCTGATAATTGAAAACAGGTTCTCAAACAAAAGACGAAAAAATCATAAGCGAAACACTTCAAAACACAGAACATGTATCTCAAAATTCCCAGCAAACTCTTAATGCTAGGTCCATGCATAGCCCATTATCGGTGCCATGACCGACCTTTCCATTGGCAAACAAGCATAGGCCAAGCCACGTGTTGCTCACCGTTTAATGCATCGTACATACATAGCAACCATTTTTTGGTCGGCGTTTAACCGTTGCTTCGCCATTACTCATTGTTATATTACTTCATTTCAAGTTCATTTTTTTTGTTTTTCACATTGTTGTTTTTAATAATAATCGATATTTAAACTAGTCCCATAATTTAACTTAATGGAAAGAAATAAAAAACCCGAAAAATTAATTTAAATAAGCCGACATTTAGCTACCTATAAAGGAGAAAGTAGTATGTAGATTATTTTAAACGAAATATCTTCGTCGGTTTAGCAATATTATAAATTTTAATAGGGAAGAGGGGGGCACATTAAAACACTTTTTAAAAAAGACATTACAGCTTTCATACTGTTTGACAAAAAGTAAAAATATTTGCTGAAAAATAGTAATTTAGTCATTAATTCTTTTAAAAAAAGCAAACTTGAGCTAGTTAAAATAAACTATAGTTGCTTGTATATCATACTCAAACAGCTAAAATGAAAATTCTAGTCAATTATCTATCACTCTCATAAAATAATTAAAAAAAAAAAGGGTATAAATATAAAACAGGTAAACATATATACGTATATATAACGTATAGTTAAACATGTAAATTTTAACGTATAGGGTAGATTAGGGTAATATGAGCACCTTGGTATTATGAGCATACTTAAAGATTTATTAGATGTAAGCAGGGAAGTTAAAGTTGCTTTATGTTTTTCGAATCGACTTTATGTGGTGATAACAGGAATCAGTACAATTAGCGTAAATTTATACGCAGTAATTAGCGGATATCATCTAATTAAAACGCTTTTAAATTTTTTGCTTTGTTAAAAAAAATCATCACGCGTGAATAATTATTTGGCGCGATATTTTGGTGCTAAAATAATGAAAATTAATTTTTTCATAAAGAAAAATATATTAGCTAAAAATCCAATTCATTTTTGTTTGAAATATAATGCATAGAAACATTTATTTTTGACTTAATTTAAAGATACCATTTTTGTGTAATATGAGCATGCTCAAATTACCCAGTGCTTTTCATTGAAATTGCTTAGTTTAAAGTCCTAAAATAGCAGTGGTTTTTAATTGCTTCTTGAATAAAAACAAAACATAGTAAAAAAATTTAATATATTAACAATACTAAATATTTTTCTGTAACTTAAATCTAAAAAATTTTTATTTTTATTGTTCAAAGGTTTGAGTTAACAAAATTGAAAAAACGATGTATTAACTTTTTTTTTTTGTTTGGCGGAAAACATAGTAGTATTGTTTCAACAAAATGTAGCTTAAAATTTGATCTTTTAATGATATGTTTTGTTAATCACGAATCCTTATATTCCAACAATTAGTTCTATTAAGCAGGTTGGTCTTTTTTTACTTAACTAATGCTATTTTTTTGAGCTAATTTAAAGTGCTCATATTACCAAGGGGTCAGGGTAATACAAGCACTTTTGCTACTTTTTTAAAACCTCTGTGTTTTTAAGAAAAAATGTCAAGTGCCCAAATATCTAAATAGATTATGAATAGGGATCCCTAAAAATTGAATAAATAGGGATCCCTAAAAATTTATTTTTGAAAATATTCCAATTTTTGCTTAAGGTGCTCGTATTACCCTAATCTACCCTATATAACGTATATATAAACGTATATATAACGTATAGTTAAACATGTAAATTTTTTGTGGTCCATTTAAAAGAATCAAGTTCATAACATTCAACCAAGTTTGAATATGGAAAAATCAAACTTGAATGTCATATTATAACCTTATGGCATGCTTCCTGAATAGAAAGTTTAGTAAAGACTTCTGCAACTGGCACCGACCACTTATTTTGTAGGGAAACCTGGGATAAAGCGAGACACCGGGGCAAAGTGAGACATTTAGGTTTTCTAGCATTGTACACAATATTTTTGAAATGATACAGTAATTTTGGTTTTATTATATTAAAAATTTCATGTTTTTTTTTTATGTTTTAAAGTAGTTTCCATCAGTTTTTTCTTTTGATTATTTTGTTTCAAAGATATTTAAGAAATAAATAACCTCACATTTACAGGGAAAGTGCGACAACGCTAGTTACTGAAAAAGTAAACGTTTAGGATAGCAAGTTTATAAACTTTATAAATCGTCAAATTAAACGTTTACAATTTAATTTTATATAGAATTCATAAAATGATGCATTTTATGAATTCTTTATAAAACTAAAGCATAATTTTATTAGAAACTTCAAAAGAATATAACATAACTTTGTTGTCATTTAGTGACCAAACATTTTTAAATAAGAAACTACAAGAGAAAAACTAATCAAGCTAAGTGGAATGAAGATGACATGAAAAATGCTATTACAGCAGTATAGTTGAAGCAGATGTCTTTTAGAAAAGCTTGCAAAAACTTTAGCGTGCCAAAAGAATCACTACACCGGCGTGTTAAAAAGGCTTCATTTGATAATAGTTTACATACTAATTTACTTGGAAGATTTAGAAAAGTGTTTTCTAATAACCAAGAACAAGATCTAAATATTTATATAAAGATATGGACAAATCATTTTATGGTCTCTCGATGATGGATATTAGATTAAAAATTCAATTCCAAATCCTATTAACAAACAAAGTAAATTAACAGGACCTTGTGCAAGCCTTTTTAAAACGCCATCCTGATTTATCACTAAAAAACCAAAGGTAATTTCTATAAACAGAATATTTGGTTTGAGCGAAGATAATCTTATTTCAGTAATTTAAAGAATTTGTTAGATAAATATCACTTTAAGCCATACCAAACTTTTAATTGCGATGAATCTGGGTTGTCATGCGTCCATAAGCCGTTAAAAGTTATCTCATCTACAGGAAAACAGTGTGTTTCATCAGTGACAAGTAGGGAAAAAAGAGTCACAACAACAATTTTATGTGTATGTAATTCTGATGGTCATTATGTACCACCCATGATGATATTTAAGCGCAAAAAAAAATTATTACTCACAGATAATGCTCCAGTTGGAACTATTCAAGGATGCTCAGAAAATGGCTGGGTTAAAACTGATTTATTTCTTGAATATATACAACATTTTGTTAAACATGTACGATGCACTTTGATCAACAAAGTTTTACTAATATTTGACGGTCATCATTCTCACACCAAAAGCTTAAAACTTATAGATTATGCTCTTGACAATGAATTGTTTTTGCTATCACTACCACCGCACACAACTCATACACTTCAACCATTGGACCGTGGATTTTTTAAGTCTTTCAAAACTTTTTTTAATCAAGCATGTATGAGATGGATGCGAAACCATTTAGGAAGACAAACTTAAACAGAAAATCTTAGAGAAATTTATAAAGAAGCATATTTAAGAGCTGCTAATATGGAAAATGCTACTTCAAGTTTTAGACCAACTGGAATTGTCACATTTTGGCATTTGTTAGAAAATGAATATCCAAGAACATCCTTGAATGATAATAATAAAATCAGGTTATCCGTACCTCATAAAGTTCAATTTGAATGCGATAACAA